ACGAACGATTCCGACCGTTGTAAACAATACCAGTGCCGAGAAGATAAACGTCGCGATCGGGTCGGCAATCTGCCATTCTGGTTTAAGCCAAATGAGCCCACCTGCGATACAAACGCCGATACTTTGAATAAAGTCGCCCAAGGCATGAATATATGCTGACCGGATATTGAGATTTTCCATATTCTTTTTTGTCGTCGGCTTTTCAGCTCCATCCAATTGAGCAACCTCCAGATCTCCACCGAACGAGTGTTTTCCGTGCTCATGTCCATGCCCGTGAGAATGTCTTTCTCGATGCGTGTGACCGTGCTTTCGAGGTGATAGTCTGTGATAGATCCCTTCATTTCCACTGTATCGGTGGTGGTCTTCGTGATCATCATCCAGCAACTCCCCACCATGCGAGTGGCCCTGGATGACGACTCCACTGTGGGTATCTACAAAACCACGTTCTTGATCAGTATGACCGTGTACGTGTGTGTGCCCACCTCCATGTGAATGTCCATGACTACCAACCCCGTTGTGCGAATGACCATGAGCACCGGCCCCATGAGAATGGCCATGACCCAGGATTTGCATCAGCAACAGGTTTACCAGTAGTCCGATACAGGCCACGATAAACATCAACTTGCCATTAACGTGTTCAGGCGGATTTGGCTCCAAACACTCGATAAACCGATTTACCGCCGCATAGACCAAGACACCCGTTAGAGCCCAAAGCACCTGTACACTCGTATCAGCACCGATAACTTCCGTGCGTTGGAAACCGAAACTCAATCGGTTGGTTGGAGGGCGTGTGCTCGTCCAGATAACAAATAGTGAGATGCAAAATGCCGCCACATCAGACAGCAAGTGAGCGGCGTCCGCCATAATTGCAAGACTGCCGGCCAGGAAACCACCAACGACTTCAGCGACCATGAAAAAGATGGAGCATACACACGCCAACTGCAGTTTCTTCTGGGCATGCTGGGCACTATCACTTAGTGGAATGCGGCGCGGAGGCTCAATCAGAGCAGCATCGTTTGGTTGGCCATTGCTGAAACACGGACAAAGCACCGCTCGGGTGCAGCCGTAGGGACTTGATCGGGTGTGAGACGCGGTCGCCATTTTGGAGAATGGCTTGCAAGTGAGCAGCGTGGTACATAAGAGCCATATCCGTTACCATGCATGTCAGTTGCAAAATCTCCGGCGGTACGTTAAGTGTTTGACGAAAGAGTTGCAAGAGTTAAGTGAGAACAATGCCACGGAAACCGAGCGGACGGATTTTCTTAGCGCGCTAGCTTGCTAGCCCCAAAATGGCAAGGTACATATATATTTACAACAACTCCCCACCTTGCGCGGCGAGGAGGAAGGATCAGATCGCCCCGACGGAGGTGGTCTCGACGAACCGCAAAACCATTCAGCGACTTCTTCTCTGTCCTGGAAATGAGGTGGGATGTTCCGAGCTTAGCGAAGCTCCTCTGG